ATGGTCCTACTCAAGTTCCCAAGTTTTCACATGAAAAACCTTTTGTTTTGTCCCCAAGTTGTGAAACTACTTTAACGTCAACTATACAAAGTCTATAGACGATTCGGTGTTTTAGCGGAGCTCCCATTGCCAAGAAAAAATGGTAAACAATTGAGTCAACTTTTTCCATGGACGAGGTAGGGTTACACCTACTCTGCGATCAGAGCTGCTTTTCTCACCCGCCGAGAAGCGAGAGAAAAATACCTCTGCCGACTTCCGATTATTATTCCGTTGAGCATGCGCAAGTGTGACGCAGCATGACGTATGTCACAAGGTCAAGCTGCTAAATGACAAACGAAAACAGAAAGTTGATATAGGGCCGATTGGAAGGTTTACGAATGTATCATTTTGAATAATATGGAAAAAAGAGCGCCGAATTGATGTTTTGATAGTTTTTGTATGTTTACATCTAATTTCTTCAAGCAAATGCTAACCAAATCTTCGAATTCTCGAGTGGAGAGACCTTTACCCGCCGTATTGAATTAGCCGGAGAGCCCACAATAAAAACTAACGGTAATTCGCAAGGTGATAATGACGTAGACGCGAAAACCGGTTGAAAACCAGCTTTCCAATGAATACCTCATAATGTTTACATCCAGAAGTTTGGATTTAAAACAAAGTCGGCAAAATCACACAGTCTAAATGACTATATTAATTTATGAAACCTAATTGTGATAGTAATTTTATTATGTCTTTGTTTCTTCCTTTAGATTTTCCTAGTTTTTGTGTTGCCTATACTCAACCTTTCTACTTCTTCTCTGTATCACGGCTTTCTCTATTCAATTTTCAACTATATTTTTTTTTCAACAAGCTGTACAATGATGAGGGTCCATTGTAACCTTCAGTAATTACAAACACACAAAATATATCAAAAGAGTTTTATATTCTAATCGAAGTAGCCAGGCTCGATATTAAGTATCAAGGACTTGACGATTCTCTATTGGAAAAACTTCCTCAGAATGATAATTACACACCTGTTTATCAATGACAGTATTGACACGATATAAATGTCTTATACGAAATTCCGTATGTCATTTTTATTAAAGACGAAATTTACCATTAATCAGTATTTTTCTTGTTTTCCATTTAGCAAGAACAAATATGGGCCTTATAGTTTGAAAAGTTATTAAGCTTTCCACTATACTAATGAACAAAATACTTCTTCTGACTGAAAACCGCTGATTAATAAAAGAGCTCTCTTCGCGTCGGTTTTGACAAATAAACTATAACCTGTTCTTAACTGAAGTTCAGTTCAACTTAACTGAAGTAACAAATGACAAATGCCTAAAATAAGATTACTCTCCGCCCCCTGGCCCCTAGAAAAATAAAAAAATAAAAAGCGTTCACAACCAAAAAAAAAGAAGTTAATTTCACGTCGCACTAGTTTTATGTACTAGTCTTATATGATACAAGTCTTAAGTGCTACCCGATAAAAGAATAGCAATGAATAGATATTGGTCATAACAAAAACGAATAGTGACAAGCAGTGGACACAAAATTACTGAAACTTTATGAGCTAGAGTGAATTGATCATTGTATGGCAAACTAAGCAATAGACACGATCAAAATAACTAAAACGGATTCTAATAAATAGCACTGTTCACCAACTCCTTGTAATCTTCTAATCAATTAGTTATAACGCTTCCATGTCAAGTTTTCGCGCTGGCAATAAAAACTACTAAGCAAGTACCAACAAACATTCTTTGAAGTAAGGCGCCTAATGCAGCTTGCGTTGAACTTGATTCACGATAATCACATAATATAAAGATTTTAGGGAAAACGAAGAGAGGAAGAAATAACAATCAAGCCGCCAATGGCAACACAACTCGAAGATTGATTGTGCAGACGAATACAGAAAGATATAATGATGAATCAAATTATAATTACTTAACGAATAGAATTTTAAATAAACGATTTATGAATATAGTTTTATAATTTAACTTCGGTTCTGGATAAACACAAGCGAGCGCCGGTGAGATGAATACCACTCGAGCTACAACTATGAGTAAATGACCAGAAGCGCTACATCTGGATCCGAAAAACAAATAAAATCACCGCAAGTGTCAAAAAACAATAACAACTAAATCCCTAAGAAAACTTGGAGTTCAATTATTAAGCAAACAATATAAATTTCAATGTTGGTGGGCGAAAAAAAATTGAGTTTGCCTAATAAAAATTATTCGCAAGGAAAACCAGAATACCAGAGCAAAGGTGAAGCAAATCGACGAATACTAGTGATCACATGATCACGTGGGCTTCCAACATAAAGAGCTTAAAGTTACATTATGGCTTCATTTCTCCACATTCATTACTGATGAAATTACCCAAAAACTACTAAGTTTGACTTTTGTTTTAGCCACAAATATGTAAAATTTGCGATCTTTGGGTAAATGCTGCCACGTGTAGTAGCGCTACATCTGACAGCGAAAGACGCAAAAAAATCACCGCAAGTGTCAAAAACCAATAATAACAATCGATGTCTCTAGTCCAATTAAATCAAACAATATAAACTTCTACAAACAGCCAAGTAGATATTTACTTAAATTGGATCATCAAAGAATTTGTGGTTTNGTACTACAGTATTCCATATTATTGATACTGATTGGCGAACGAGAACTGTATGCGGGAACTGTATGCGCTACACGACCCTACACGGGTGATCTGTTTGTCGTCAGATGATGACAGGATATAAAGCAGATCTAAACGTACCTCGATCAGCAGATAACAACGTAAACAAACAATTTTTCGTTTATTGTTATCCATTTTTTACGTTTTCAAGCGAAAAATATATACATAAAACACCAACATGAAGCTTTAATATCTCTATATGTTTTTGTTATGTATATAGTATAAATGAAATGAAAATCCTCGAGAATCCAGCATCCAACTCGAGAATCCAACTCGAGAATCCAACTCGAAAATCCAACTCGAAAATCCAACTCGAAAATCCTAACTCTGTTGCTAGTATATCTCGTTATTGTTTCGTGTACAATTGCTGGTTGACAATAAATGGCTCATATATCCCCGCGCTAAACTGGGTGTTATATTCTGTAAAACGATACAATTTCTTTTAAACATCTCGTTCGATCAGGGCATCATTCGTTACTCTATTAATAATCAGATTTCAAAGATTAAGAGCGACAAGAACGACTTTGAACAGAACGAGACCATACACGGCACTAAAACAACGTATGGCAATAATTGGTATCACCTGCCTGACTGGCATGACAAGCTCTATCTTTATASCGTATATGACAAGTCTAAAATATGGGCGATTGTGTGGCATATGGCTACCCTACTTACAGAATAATAGAGTTGTTGCCGTTGTTCTCATATTTGAATGTGCTATTCTGATTATTCTCTGCTGTGTTATAGTCGTTCTTAGTATTGTAACGATAARACGGTTGACCAAACCACAGGCAATCCAAAACCATCTTAGCAAAGAACAACGAAACCTACGAGCACGTCGAACTAAAGCAGCCGTCAGATTATCAAAGAATTGTATRTCATTCGTGCGGGATCCCTGTGCGTTTTAGTTTYGGGCTTCCTTYAGCGAATCCATGCCATRTATGGCAAAAAAACAAAATGGCCGATTGTTTAGAAGTGTTTTCGCTATAATATCTACAMGTTTTAGACGATTTCGAGGCTTAAAAGTCGATAATTATAATCACTAAAAACCGATCCACACGTACTTCCAAACAAGGTACGATTACAAAATATGTTGGCAATTCTTTGATATGTAACTCTTTTATCGTTTGTTATTCCCGTTAAGGTTTTWACAAGAACATATTATAGCTCAATTGTGACAACTGATTTCCCAGACGAGAAGACATATCAAGTCTTTTCCTAGATATGATAGTATAGTAGAAATCTTGGAAAATGTTGGAAAACTCTCGACAAAAGAAATGTCTAAATCTGCTAAATGGAGTGAGCACTCTAAGATAATCAAAATTAAATATTTTTCTGTTTTTCTTTCTAAARTATCAATGTGTCCCCTCTACTAACTCTGTACAGACATGACCACAATTACTCTACATTTCTTGTTTTTCATTAGAATATCCTCTTCTGCTTGTCACTAAGAAAGGGTTAGGTATTGGTCCTGCATCCTAAATTTGCATAGTCGGACGGGAAGGAGTTGATGAGAAATATATTATACACCTGTGAATGGTAGAAAGGTGGCATGTAAGGAATCCCATGTGAATGGATAACATCAGCGCAGACATTATCACGTGACATACATGAGRATGTTTCTGTCTCAATGTTTTGAAATACCTTAGAGAACCAGACTGTTGACTTTATAGAAAATGATTTTAACGAAGAAGGTTAAAMGTTTAGGGAAAGTATTTGATAGCGATCAGTTTRTTGCAGATAATTAAASGGATGAATTCAMWCGAGCTTGTCAGARYCTTTCAGGGGGTYTAATTCTATCAAAGCTATTTTTAGCATATCCGCGATGTGCTATTGTTTCATATCCTTTTTTACTGGGMTAATTGTGTTGACTAACCTTCATTCATATCAGCTTTATATGCTCAAATAGACTGTTTATTAACACTACCTCTCTAACTTCCATCCATCTTTATATAACTTGTGGAGCTCATTTCTTAAGTTGGTGAGATGACTCAACGGGACTCGCAGCGGGTGAAGAAAAACATTAGAAAAAATAATTAAACTTGTGTATGGTTATTTATGACGTAGTGACGTCGTCGTGATGCTGTCTTTTCCAGCCTTACAGTTTACGTTATATAGATGCATTTGGGAACACAAAACCATAAATGAAATCAATTGAATAAATTGGCCTTACATGAGATATAGCTGGTAGCGTTAGGATCCAATTATTTCAAGCATCTTTAAAAGTCTTAAGAATCTTTATGAAACACAAACGAATAAACTATGAATAATAGATAACTTGAAACTTTCGTGTTTGTTTGAACACATTCAAACTCCGATTTATTATTGGCGAACGAAATCCAAACAGTCCGTATTCAATTTGGTTTTGACAGACTCCAGTTGACGAATATTTTAAGTAATTGAGCGAACTTTCTTACCTAGAAAAGTTAAAAAACATGAATCCAAAAAGCTTTTATTTCGGTATTTTTGTTGGATGCCTCTGTGTTCTGGGTTCTTCTTTAGCTATCGGTAGGTGTTTTTTCTTTCAGTTTAACAAGATTATCTTGAGTTTTGGTTGTTAAAATCAAGGAAAAAGTATAGTTACATTAGTTCATATCCATTAATGAATTCAACCTTTGCGCGCTAGGTTAAATGTAATGYTGATAGAGCTGGATCGTCCTTATTCAATTCTATAACATATATGCAACTATTGYGATGTCGATCGTTTCGACATTTTGAAATAATCTCTTTTCCGCTGTGTTAGCCTCAAAACCATGAAATTAAATTCTTTTTTCACTAACAGTCCGTGCAAATGCAAGAGATCTGTGAATATAGAAGACAATGGAAATAAGTGAAACTTCACGAGTTTTATTTAAATGTCTGAATTGCATACAATTGAGGCTAACACGACAGCGTAAACTTAAAGAGATCGCGAAACTCAACTATTGTGGCRTAAAACATAYAAATTTTCTTTAAATYGAATCAAGCATGCAAAAGACGAYAGCTATTGAGGTCAATTTTTCTAGAATATAATTGTGTAACTGACAGMATTCAACCAGAACTTCACATACATTATACAAATGAATAAATCCTAGAAATTGCGATTTGAATCAATGAGTCCCAAAAGAAGTAAATACAGATAAAAGCTCGCTATAATTATTTTATAAAAGTCGCTTTTATATTTCTCAACTGTTAGTAGCTTAATTACGTACCTGTRACCTACAGCGCTTCGTTTCGCAGTTGCTATATATATATATATACAAACTCACGAAATTGAAAATTGGATTGAAATGAAAATTCAAAAAAGGGAAATCGTCTAAAAGTGTTCCTATGTAAACTAAACAATATTGCAATAAGTGGAAATTATGAATAAMATGTAATTACAAAATAAGAAATGTCGAAACTGGCTGACGGCATGGAGCCGCGCAATTAGATCTTAAAAAATCCAGTCTGGATTYGCATCCAGATCAGTTTCGTTTTCTTCTTCTTGGTACTTTTTTCAAACTTACAATATTATACTTTACTTGCTATAGAATCAGGRCATTACACGGTCGCTTAGAGAAGCGCATTTTATCTTTTAGAGTTGATAGATCTTTTCATTGTCTTTTCAATCCTCGAWAATGAAATCCACAGTTTCCACTGGCCTTTGCAGCATTCTCGATGTATCTTTCAGATGATAAGAAGATTTCATTCCGTGTGATGCTTAGGGAAGGAAATAAAGACTTGGAATGGGACAACTCGCTAGCAGACAACCACTCATCAGAATATCGGGAACTTGCGAACAAGGTTTGTTTATCATAATTTAAAGAATCATAACCAACCGCCGTACCTTGCGCGCTCGTATTATTGTTTACATACGTTTAAATGAGTCAAGGATACAATAAATTATAGATTGATAGTACCTGTGAGGTACTTAATTAAATGTATTTCTGTCCAAACTGAAAGGACGGAAGACGATTCGCGCTCACTTTAAGAAATCCTACGAATCCGCCATTTTCGTGTYCACCTAAAATGGCGCTTYGGCTCGCAAGGTACGGCGGTTGGTTATGATTATTTAATTACACCTAATTGAAAAATGCTGTCTGGTTCAAAAAGGTTACATCGCTGAACGTAAGATCGAAAGGGAAAATAGGAAAAATGAGAACACCAATTTATTYSTGTAATATTGATTGGTGCAGTATTGTTCCAGTGCCCAAAAACTGTCGACAAGGAACAATCCAATGTCCATCTTTGTATAATTATTTTAGTTTCGAGCTCCTAAAATTCTCTTCGGTCTTAAATTCTATGAAGTTACCATTWTGAACCTGATTTGACAATTTCTTGAATATGTTTAGGAACAAATGAAATATGCGCAAATAAAGTTATTTTAAAAACGTAAAGACCTGAAACTGTCATCACATAAAACAATTGCTTTGTAAAAAAACACATTCGTTTTCTTCGTCTTTCCCCTACATATCTGGCAATTAAATCTTACCTTATTTGGAAGTTCGAGTAGACTCTTTTCTGGTGATCAACATGTCGGTAATGTTCAAATTCACTTGGAGATACGGCCTCTAGCAAATTCGAAAGRAAGTCTAAAACCACAGGGATCCCATGTGAATGGATAGCTATTATTTCATATGAATGCATTGTGTGTTCCAATACTAAATGACTTTCCATCAAAGAAAAAGAATATCTAAAATAGATCATAGCACTTGTCAATTATCTTTCCGCAGGTTAGAGCGAAGATTGGAATTTTATTCTTAAACATCACTGGTGTTCRCGATATCATAATTAATGCCTTTCGGCCCGGCAGYGTGTACACRGACTTGACAATCAGCCTTAAAAACAATTCTAATACGTCACGTGACGCTTTTATGACCGTCGTCAACAAAACAGACTGGGTCGATCTTACCGCAGGGACCCCATCCAGATCATTTCTTGTTGGATTGATATTTGTGAATGGGACCATGATTTCAAATATTGCATTTGAGTCAGACCAGGTAGAATCGATTCTTTTTAGCCTATTTAAAGAGATTCCAGGCTTTCAGGATGCGACAGTACTTGATGTTACTAASSTTGATAGTAATCACGTTCCCATGGAGATAAGGCTGCTGTTTGATTCAAGGTCACGTGTTAATGAAGATAAACTGAAGAACATAATTCTCAGCTACAAAGGTAAGGAACTGGCCAATAATTAGTAGGGGTGGGCGGTTGAGAGAGGAGTGAAAAAAACGGAAAAAGTTTGTGACGTCCAACCCCTCTTAAATGGAAAAATGCACCCCCCCCCACCACCACCACCATACCTAAAAATCTAAACTGCACCCAACCCACCTCCCCTCGTTAAGAGTTATAAGAGTGTCGGTGACTATCCATGCATACTAATCTGAAATAAGGGATTAATTGCGCAGTCATTATCAGCAGTAGGATGCAAGTAAATATCCTCAGTTAGTGTGTATGTCATTTCAGTGATTTTCGTTGATTACCAAMAATGARTTGTGTTTTCTGATTATYATTGWTTTKCCAGGAGGTATAAATGGTACTGTGCGATTTACCCAAGTGACAATCAAGGAGGAAAGGCCGATATCACCACCAAAACCAAGTAAACCAACTTGGCTCGTTATCATAGTAGCACTTTCTTGTTTAACCATTACCGCCGGGCTAATTGCCTTCGTATATCGTGTAAGTTAATAAATAGATCACTCTTATGCATTGATTGTCGTCTAGATTTCCAGGTAAACTTTCTACCCAGTTGAAGTAGTTAATTTTCGGACATTTTTGACGCAGAAGTAAAGTGATTCAAAGAAAAAAATGGGGTCGTAGTGGTGAAAAGTTGTTTTCAAAAATCGACGCGAGCGCGCTTCCTTTTCCCGCCTTCTCAAAAGTAACCAATCAGAATCGCGATGTACACGGACGGACGGACAGACGGACGGAAGGACAACTGGGCTTTCTGTGTCGGTTGATCAAAAATCATCTCGATGGGTTTAGCATTTTTCCTCAGACGAAGAATTCAATCGTCTACTGCGCGAAAGGCAAAATTTAATCGTAAATTAAATAAGGTAAATTTTCACTTTTACTCGTTTTATTTCGAATTTACTACTGTGAGAAGGAAAATATTCTCAGCTGGCGATGGTTTGTGGGAAGGTGTCTTCCTTCAGTCTGAAACCGCGCGCTGATTGGACAAGATCAAACAAGTGATCAACTGGCCGATGGGTTGAAACAGCATTGCGTGATGCGACTAGAGCCATCTTTATTCTCTAATTATTACGTATTTTAACAGGTATTTAAACAAAGCTTTCTTAAAGCACCCAAGTTCAAGCTTAACGAAGACGATGAAAACAGACGTCGCCCAAGATCTCGTACCTCTACCGAGACGTCACCGGCTTCTGCAGAACCGCATCAAAACTG